CTCCCTCTAACCTGTCAACAACCAGAGGAATGTTTCTCAATCCTAGATCAAACTCCTTCCCTCCTCTGCTCCAAACCTCCCAAGATAAAACCCCAAGCTGCTTACTTAGCCCTCCAAGGACCCCCCCATGTCCCCTTGAACCTTTCCTCCCCATCCCCAGACTTCTTTTCCTTGCTCACGGCTGTGGGGCACCTCCTGCAGCCCTTTGTCCTCAACTCCTACACACCCCTTACCCCATCTCAATGTTCCCTCTCCATTGCGTCACTGCCTGGCCCTGCCCAGTCTAATCTAGGTCCCCATGTCGTTCACTCCCAATACTCTGTCCTTTTCTTTGGCAGCGTTCTGCATGGGTTGTCAAGATACATTCATAGGCATGACTGTGTGTCTCCTGCTTGTCTCCTCCTCTGCTCTGTGAGCTCTGGGAGGCGGGGACTGGGTATATCCACCACCACCCTGTAAAAGGCCTACCACAAAGGGGACAATCAATAACTCTGGCATTTTTGGGGGGTGCAAATGTGGATGTGCAAAGGTCTGCCCACTTGTGCGAACACATTGGGGGCCCTACATGCCCAGGGCTCAGTGGGCCCAGCTGTGTGCACAGCCAACCTGAATCTGTGTTCATTCACTCAAGAGCTATTCACTGAGCACCTGCTGTGAGCCTGCAATTTTCTTTCAAATGCATTTTAAAAATGAGAAGGGCAGATGGGTAGACACATTCCCCGTGCCAGGTGTTGGGGACCCCACAGTGAGGAGGACAAATCTCTGCCCTCGTGGAACTCAAATTGGAAGGAGAAGAGAGGCAACAGTGAGATAAATATTTATCAGGATGCAAGATGGGCAGTGAAGGAAAATAAAGCAGAGGAGGGGATAGCCAGCAATGGGAGTGCTATTTTAGAGAGGGTGGTCCGGGAAGGCCTCTCCGAGGTTATGATCAAGATCTGGAGTAAATTAGCAAGTAAGTCAAGTAAGGAAGGGCATTCCAGCAGAGGGAACAGCCAATGCAAAGGCATGGAGGCAGGCATGTGAAAAACTTCAAGGAGAAGACTGTGTGGCTGGCATGGATGGGATATGGGAAGAGATGAGATCAGAGAGCGCCTTAGCCTGGTGAGGAGGACTTTGGTTTTTATTCTGTGACAGAACCCCCTGGGGGCTATTTTCCCACTACATTTACTGAAATATAATTGACAAATAAAATTATATAAATTTAAGGTGTACAATATGATGATTTAATACACGTATTTATTGTGAAATGATTACCACAGTAAAGTTAACACATCCATCACCTCATATAGTTGCCATTTTTGTGTGTGTGTGTGGTGAGAATGTTTAAGATCTACTCTCAATAAATTTCAAGTGCACAATACAGTGTTGTTAACTATAGGCATCATACTGTACATTAGATCCCTAGAACTTATTTATCTTATAATTGAACGTTTGCACCCATTTCCCCAACCCTCCAGTCGTGGTGACCACCATTCTGCTCTGTTTCTTTTTCATGAAATGCATTAATTAATTTTTATTGAGCTATAATTGACATAGAACATTAGTTTCAGGTGTACAACATGATTCAATATTTGTATATATTGTGAAATGATCACCACAATAAGTCTAGTTAACACCTGTCACTACACATAGTTACAAATTTTTTTTTTGTAATGATGAGAACTTTTAAGATCTACTCTCTTAGCAACTTTCAAATATACAATACAGTATTAACTATAGTCACCGTGGTGTACATTACATCTGTCTCTGTTTCTAAGAGTTTGGCTTTTCTAGATTCTATACATAAGTGAGATCATATGGTATTTGTCTGTCTCTGTCTGACTTATTTCACTTAACCTAATGCCCTCAAGGTCCATCCATGCTGTCACAAATGGCAGGACTTCCTTCCTTTTTTATGGCTGAATAATATTCCGTTATATATATATAATATATATTGGCGTGACTGTGTGTCATGTCAATATATATTATATGTATATTATATATATACACATACACATCTTATATTTTCTTTGTTCACTTACCAGCTGGCAGATACTTAGCTTGTTTCTGCGTCTTAGCTAGTGTGAATAATGCTGCCATGAACATGGGGTGCAGATGTCTCTTTGAGATCCTGATTTTATTTCCTTTGAATATACACCCAGAAGTGGCATTGCTGGGCCATACGGTAATTCTATATTTAATTGTTTGAAGAACCTCCATTCTGTTTTCCATAATGGCTATACCAATTTACGTTCTCACCAACAGTTCACAAGCCTTCCCCACTGGGTAACTTTGAGCAGGGGAGAGACCTGATTTGGTTTTAAACGGTCCCTCTGCTAAGAACAGTGAGTGAAACGTTGACGGGAAACTTTCTAATGGAGGGATCAGGACCTGGATGCACTGCATGGGACCACCGATTATTACGATGTGATGCTCCAGGAAGGGGCCCAGCACCTCCAGTGAGGAGCTCTTGCCAGAACGAACCCAAATCTGATTGAATTCCCAGTTTACAGGGAATCCTGGGAATGAAGGACATCTTGAGTGACACCACAAAGATGTGGTCAGCCAATGGGGCTGGCCTGGGGGTGTAGTGGTTAAGTTTGTGTGCTCTGCTTCCGTGGCCTGGGGTTTGCAAGTTTGGATCCTGGGCGCGGACTACACACTGCTTATCAAGCCATGCTGTGGTGGCATCTCATCTACAAAGTAGAGGAAGTCTGGCACGGATGCTAGCTCAGGGCCAATCTTCCTCAAGCAAAAAAGAGGAAGATCGGCAACAGATGTTAGCTCAGGGCCAATCTTCCTCACACACACACACACAAAAGATGTGGTCAGTCAAATCTGGGTATGAGAAATTGTACAGGGTGAATGCCCAGTTTCTTCAAGAAATGTGTCATACAAAAGTTGGGGAATAGTTTCAGATTTAAAAGACCTATGATGGTTCAAATAAAGGCACTGTGTGGTAAGACTTTGGATCTGGATTTGAACAAATCCAACTATAAAATATTTATGTGACCATCAGGGACACATGAACACTGGTACTGCAGAATTCCTAACAGTGATAGGTGTGAAAATGGGTATTGTGGTTGTGACTTTTGAAAAGTAAATTTTAAAGGGAGGAATTATTGTTTAATAAGTAAAGTCTTTGTTGGGGATATGGAAAGTTTTGGGTACAGTGGTGATGGTTAGCTGGCCCTGGTGGTCTAGTGGTTAAGATTCAGCACTCTCATGGCTGTGTCCAGGGTTCATTTCCCAGTTGGGGAACCACAACACCTGTCTGTCTGTCGGGTGTCATACTGTGGCGGCTGTGTGTTGCCATGATGCTGAAAGCTATGTCACTGGTGTTTCAAATACCAGCAGGGTCAGCCATGGTGGGCAGGTTTCAGTGGAGCTTCTAGACTAGACTAGAAAGAAGGACCTGGCCATTCACTTCTGAAAAAAATTGGCCACGAAAACCCTGTGAAGAGCAGCAGAGCATTGTCTGATGTAATGCTGGGAGGTGAGAGGATGGTGCAAAAAGAACGGGCAGGGTTCTGCTCTGCTGCACACAGGGCCACTAGGAGTCGATGGCACTAACAACAATAAGTGGTGATGGTTACACAACATTGTGAATGTATTTAAAGCCACTGAATTGTAAACTTACCAATGGTTAAAATGATAAATATTATGTGATGTACATCTTACCACCCACACAAAAAACTGAAGACCATACTAATTCTAAATACTTTTATTCGGGAGTCCAATAGTTCTTTATTGTTTAAGCCACTTTGAGTTTATATTTTCTTTTACTTGCTACTGAAATCATAACTCCTGTCAACTTTCATACTGATGCAGTGCAAGGTCCATCCCTTCTTAAAAAAATGAGTTTGCTGGTATTTCTGATTCTAAATTTCCCTGGATGTGAATTTTGAGTGCAAAGGAAAGCAAGTCATTGCCTTCACTTAAAAGAAAACCTTGAGCCTCATTCATTCCTTTTCCCATCACACTGACATATTAAAAATAGTAATAATAGTAAATCCAAGAACTTAGCATGTATTTCATTCCTATTAGGTTGCAGAATTTTTCACATTTCCTCCTTTAAATTTAGTAACTCTTTTAGATGCTAAATCCTCAGTCAGGGTGTGATCAGCTGGAAAGTGGCAGTTAGGATCTGATCCCAATCTCATCTTTCAATTCTCTATGATATCACTGTTTTGTGCTATCTTTACAAAACTTAAGCTAAAAAAACAAAATAGCATCACGGAAAATAAAACAAAAAGAGGAAACTTTAGTTAATGAGATATGCATTGCTGAAGCATTCGGGAGAAAATGAACTGATGTCTATAATTTTCTATGATACGCCGAAAAAAATGAGCTGGATGGACAGATGCTTAGAAATGTGCTAAAGCAGTGTGGCCGACAGTGGCCTGTACAGTTCCCTCAATTTTGCTGCATTTTTGAAAACTGTCATATTAAAATGTTGGGGGGAAATGTCCTTTACTGTCAGAAACGTGCATTCAGTCATTTTCTGGGATTTGCCTTAAAATAACCGTAAGAGAGTGATAGACGAAATAAAAATAGAAAGTAGATGGTTATAGGACGCCGGGGATGGGCAGGAAGTTCACTGCACTCTTCTCTCGACTTTTGTGTTTGAAAACTTCCTTATTAGATAGTTAACAAATAAAAAGATGACTCTGGTTTCCTAGAGGCTGGAGTAGGGAGAGGGTCGGTTTCAGGATCTGCTTTCAGATTGGGAGAGTTCCCAGGGCACGGATTGCTCCCTTTGGGCTTTCTCTGGCTGGGGCGCCCCCAGCCCTGCAGTGCTGCCAGTGTCCCTTCTCCCTGCCCGCCCTCCACACGTTAGCCTCGCCGGAAGTGAGGCCCAGGACAGGCCCCCCGCCTCTCCTCCACATCTGGCGCTGATGTCAACAGCCAGGGTGGGCGGGGGCCATGTTTTTTAGCTCCCGCCCAGCCTCGAGGGAGGGGTGGACCCCCCCCAACTCCACCCCTTATTCACAATGATGGACATGTCACACACATGCTAGGCCCTGCCACGGGCCAGATCAGGGGCCAGAAATGAACTTTTATTGCAAAACAGGGACCTTCAAGCCACAGGCACGTCAGACCTGGCCTCTTCCCTGACACGGGAAGTTGGAAGCTGGCCCCCACCTTGGTCGTCTAGCCCCTTTTACCGGGTCGAATCGGGACTCTGACGCAGAGTAGGGGCGGTGGGTCAGTGTGTGTGTTGGCGGGGAGCAGAGGAGGCTTCCGACATGGTTACATAAGCAGGAGTGGGAGGGTGCACCTCTGTTCTGAGGGTCCTCCTGTGTCTAAGTTTACTAGGCTCCCAGGCTTGTGCACACTGGGGGTGTGCTCCTATTTGGGAGAATTTGGGGATCAGGGTGCTTGGAAAGGATGGTCCTTGAGAGCGGAAGGTGCAGAGGAGGCTGGGGCCGCGCCTCCACGGGAGTGGTGTGTCTCCGTAGGAAGATAGTCGGGAGCCTGGACAGTGTCATGTGTGGGCTGGCTGTGTGGTTCAGTGGTTGGGGGCATGTGGATGGTGATGGTCATGTGCCTGGATAGTGGCGCGGTCACAGGACAGAGGGCATGCTGGGGCTGAGGACAGGGATGGTCTGCGTGGTGACGTGACCCAGGAGGGGGCATGTGCTTCTCTGCACCAGGCTCCCAAAGATGGTGGCACTGGTAAGTCTGAGGAGTGAAGAGGGCATGTGGGCTGTGAACAGGAGGCTGTTTCGGTAGCTTATGAAGGTGGCAGCCGAACTCCATGTGTGGGTTGCGAGTCCAGGGGAGCGAGTCGTGTGTGAGTTGGGTTATCTGGACATGTGGTTGTGATTCCAGACAGACTAAATTTATGCCCGTAAGAAGCTTGTGTGGCCAAGTTGCCTCATGGCCCTCATGGCTGTGTATGGGTGTGTGATTGTCTCAACAGCTGCGTGGGCGGATGCCTGTGGTCCTGTGGACAGTGTAGGCTGAATATCTGCGTGACCGACTCTAGAAAACAGCTATCGGTGGGTGCATTTGGCTGCTTGCGGTGTAGACTTGTGGCTCTCGAGAAACAGCCATGTCCATGCCCACCGCAGAGGCCACCACCTGTCAAGGGTCCCTCCTTCATCTGGTCCACATAGTGGAGTGGGGTGGAGGTCAGTGGGGCCGGACTCGCAGCTGGAAGGCCGGGGGAATGTTGAAAACACCACTGACAGCTGGCTGAAGGTTCAGGGCACCCAGCGGGCTTGCGCTCTCCAGGGAGAAGGCCTGCAGGATGGCGGTGGCCAGGAGGAAGATCTCTGCTCGTGCCAGGCCCTCCCCAAGGCAGACACGCTTACCTGGAAGGAAGAGGCAGATGGAGCCGGGTCAGCCCGCCTCACACCCAGGCCCGGGGAGGACTGGAGGGTGGGAGGGGACAGGCCCAGCAAATACCTAAGGAGTAGGGCAGGAAGGCCTCTTGCTTCTTGAACCTTCCGTCCGCATCTAGGAACCGGCCTGGGTTGAACTCCTCTGGCTGCTTGAAGATCTCAGGGTCATGGAGGACAGAGCCAAGGAGGGGGAAGACCTCAGTGCCCTGAAGAGAAATCATAATAAAACTACAAATATCCCTCACCACCCAGGCCTTCGGTTCCCGAGAGCAGAGCACAAGAGTCTGGGGTGTCAGTGACACCAGTTCACAAAACATAGTGGCATCAACATGGATTAAGCATATTACAGGTCAGGCACTTTATTAAGCATCTTATATATATTATCCCATATGTAATAGGTACATGTACCACACATGCACACATGAACTCACCAAATCTTTTTAACAAGCCTGGGAAGCAGTTACTGATATGATCCCCATTTTAAAGATGGGAAAATTGAGACCCAGAGAACTTAAATAAGTTGCCTGAGGTAACATTTGGACACAGCAGAGCTTGTTCTTTTTTTTTTTTTTTTTTTTTTTGGTGAGGAAGATTGGCCCTGACCTAACATCTGTGCCAATCTTCCTCTATTTTATACGTGGGATGCCGCCACAGCATGGCTTGATGAGTGGTATGTAGGTCTGTGCCTGGGATCCCGTGAATCCTGGGTTGCCGAAGCAGAGCGCGGGAACTTAACCACTAGGCCACTGGGCTGGCCCCAGAGCTTGTTATTTTTATGCTTTGCTTTTAAACTTTGGGAGTATGTTGTGATTCAGCTGTGGCTGCCCTAAGTCCCTGGCTCAGAGTCTAGCTTTTTGCCACTCTGGTCTTTGGAGGGGGGTGAAGGCAAGGGTGAGCGGGAGAGGGCTGTCTATGGAGGCTCCCCCGATCACGTTCAGGGGAAGTGGCAGCCCCTTCAGCTGAGATCAGAGTTACCCTGTTCCCAGGACTGTGGTGCAGGGGGAAGGAAGGTGGGGAGCGTGAGGAGACGGAGAGGGACTGACTTTGTTAGGGACTCTGGCTGTCGGGGGTCTGCGCTGGGAAGGTGACGGGGCTCCAGGAAAAGACAGGGTCGTGTTACTGCTGTTAGAATAAGAGAAAGGCAGGCAGCAGTGGTTACAGTGCAGGGTCTGGGTGCAAATCCTGCCTTTACCACTTGCAGGCTGGGTGATTTTGGCAAGTCTTCTAACCTTTCCAGGCCTCAGTTTCCTCATCTGTAAAATGGGCATGACAACAGCGAAGGTCGCTCTGAAGATTAAATAGGGCAATATCCACATAAAGCATTTAGACTACTACCTCACCCAGAGCAGGTCCTGTCACGGATGCCTGTTATTGTCATTATCAGTAATTGTCTGAGTTGCAGCAGTCACGGCATTAGCAATAGTTGCTGCTGCCGTGTACGTAGGACCCCCAACCCCTGCACCAGGACCTGGGTTGGTGTTTTACAAGCATTATCTCATAGATTCCTTGCAATCTTGAGTTGATACTATTATTGTTCCCAGTTTAGAAGGGGAGTGAATTGCCCAAAGTCCCAGCTAGAAAACAGCAGGGCTGGATTCTAACTGCTATGGGTTTTTTAAAGATTTTATTTTTCCTTTTTCTCCCCAAAGCCCCCTGGTACATAGTTGTATATTTTTAGTTGTGGGTCCTTTTAGTTGTGGCATGTGGGACGCTGCCTCAGCATGGCTTGATGAGGGGTGCCATGTCCGCGCCCAGGATCCGAAAAGGCGAAACCCTGGGCGGCCAAAGCGGAGCACAAGAACTCAATCACCCGGCCACGGGCCGGCCCCTAACTGCCATGGGTTTGATTCTACAGTGAAGCTCAAGGAGGGAGCTGCTTGTGGTCAGGTGGCTCCTGTTTCCCGGGAGACATCGCCCCCTGGTGGTGCTGGCTGTGAGTTGCTCTTGTATGAAGGGGCAGGAATTGAGGGAGAGAAGGGAGGGGGAGGGAGAGGGAGAGACTGGATGTGTTTGCAGCAGGGGCTGAGGGGGAGGGCCTCTGTCAGACCTCACTTTTCAAATTGCTACCCTGCTTGTCACCTCATCTAATTGTCCCAAGCACCTTGGGAGGAGGTAGAATTTGGATATCCATTGGACAGATGGAGAAACTGAGGCCCAGAGACAGAGCCAGAGGGCAAGAGAACTATATACAGAAAGAAAGAGAGAGAGGGACACAGAGAGAGAAAGAGAGGGAGATGAGAGAGAGAAAGAAGATGTGAGAACAAAAGAGAGGGAGATGTCAGCAAGAGAAGAGAGAGGAAGAGACAGAGACCAAGATCCAGAGAAGGTCAGAGGAATACACAGGGAGCACCGGACTGAGGCCTGAGGCAGAGACAACTGCGTGGCCGTGGCTGACTTGCACACTTACCTGGGGCAGGGTGTACCCTCGGAAGCAGGTGGTCCTTGTGAGGGCTCGGGGCATTCCCATGGGCACCAGTGCCAGCAGCCGCTGTGCCTCATGCAGAACCGCGTCCGTGTATGGGAGGCGGGCTCGGTCTCCCAGACCTGGCGCCCGGCCGTCTCCCAGCTCCCGTGTCAGCTCCTCCCGCACGCGTTCTGCACCCAGGAAGAGGAGGGCTGGAGGTCAGCGGTGGGGTGGGGCCCTGTGATCCTCCCTTTGGAAGCCCCATGTTCTTGACCTGCTGTGATTAGAGGTGAGGCTGGCAGGCTGGGAGGGAGTCCCCCAGACCTCACTAAGCCCAGGTCCCACACATCCTGTGTGCTGGGCATTACATCTGTTTTTTTTTTTTTTTTTGAGGAAGATTAGCTCTGAGCTAACATCTGCCACCAATCCTCCTCTTTTTTGCTGAGGAAGACTGGCCCTCAGCTAACATCCATGTCCTCTACTTTATACGTGGGATGCCTGCCACAGCATGGCTTGCCAAGAGGTGCCATGTCCACACCCGGGATCCAAACCAGTGAACCCTGGGCCGCTGAAGCAGAATGTGGGAACTTAACCACTGCATCACCGGGCTGGCCCCTATATCTCTCTTAATTCCCACAGCAATCCTGTGAGGTAGGGACCATTATCTATCTCCATTTCCCAGATGAGGAAACTGAGGCCCAGAGAGCTGAAGACACAGCTGTCTCCATTCCACCGAGGCCACCAGACCCCAGGTCCCATCCTCCCAGTCAGCCCTCCTCACTGGCCCACAGCATTTACGGCAGCTGCCTGACCCAGAAATGCTGGAGCTCCTCAGGGCTCACTCCCAGCCCTGCCTCTCACCCCACCCTCCCTCACCATTGCCGCCTGTTCCTGCCTGTGCTCTCACGACTCCAGTTCATCTTTCAGCTCCAGTCCTGACCCTGGTGTCTCGTGGCCTCCTGGAGGCCTCCCCACAGGTGGCTCCAGGCCCCTCACACTCAAATTGTCCCCAACTGACCTCAGCATCTCCCCTGAAATAACTTCTCATCTCTTCTGTCCCCATCTCAGAGTGGCCCCCAGTCCCCTGGCCTATCCCTGGATGCCTTCCTCCCCCGTCATTCTCTACCACCTGCCTACTTGACCCTCTCTTCCCTCTCCACAGCCCGGCCCGGCCCTGTCTTCTCCCACCCAGGTCCCTTCCCTGTCCTCTTCTATGGGCTCCTGGCATCCTCTCTCACACCTTATAATCTACCTCTTCATGGCAGCCCAAAGGATTTTTCTAAGATGCTAATTTGACCCTGCTCTCCCCTGTTCAATACCCCTCCATGGCTCCTCATTACTCGGGATCAGGTGCACAGTGTACCCCTAAGGGAACAAGGCCCTGAGACATCACCTGCCTCCTTTCTCACTACGTGTCATGCTGCAACTGGCAGTCCTTCCAACTTCTTCTCATTCCTCAGACACCTCAAATGCTGGGCTCATTTTTGCCTCCAGGCTCTGGCTCACGCTGTCCACTCTCCTGAACATCCTTCCCTCTGAAGCCCTCACTTCTGTTCCCAGAGCCTGGTTGGTGGAAAAGGCTCCTACCTTGGACCTCAGGGTATTTCAGCAGGAGCAGGAGGGTGTAGCGGACTGTTGTGCTCACTGTCATCGTCCCGGCGAACAGCAGATAAGTGACCGTCATCAGCATGTTCTCGTCAGTGAATTCCGTGTTCGGGTCCTGTTCCTCCTGCGAGAAACCAGGTGGAGGGGCTCAGAGAACACAGGCTGCGGGGAGCAGAGGCCCAGCACAGCCGGGCTTGGGGTGCGGCACAGCAAGTCTGTCAGTGAGTTTAAATAAATGTTTGGGGAAGTTGGGAAGTGCGCGCTGGATATTAATTCTCTCTGGTTGAAATGTTTTTAAAAATGAAAGAGAATGGTCACTATTAAAAAACCCCACAAAATAGCAAGTGGTGAGGATGTGGAGAAATTGGAACCCTTGTCACCGTTGGTGGGAATGTAAAATGGTACAGCTGCTATGGAAAATGGTATGGCGATTCCTCAAAAAATTAAAATAGAATTACCACATAATCCAGCAATTCCACCTCTGGGCATAAACCCAGAAGAATGGAAGGGTCTCAAAGAGATATTTGGACATCCACATTCATAGCAGCATTATTCACAATAGCAAAAAGGTGGAAGCAAACCCAGGGTCCAGTGATGGATAAATGGATAAGTAAACTATGGTATATACAGACAACAGAATGTTATTCAGCCTTAAAATGGGAGGAAACCCTGTTGCATGCTACAACATGAATGAACCTTGAGGACATTATGCTAAGTAAAATAAGTCAGTCATAAAAAGACAAATAGCGTATGATTCCACTTATAGGAGGTACCTAGCGTAGTCAAATTTATAGAGACAGAAAGTAGAATGGTGATTACCAGGGACGGAGGATGGGGGGTTGTTGGTTCAATGGGTATAGAATTTCAGCTTTGCAAGTTGAAAAGAGTTCTAGAGACTGGTTGCCCAACAACGTGAATATAATTAACACCTACTGAACTGTACACTTAAAAATGGTTAAGATGCTAAATTTTATGCTGTATTTTACTACAATTAAAACTTTTAATTTTAAAAAATGAAAAAGAAATGAGGCTACAAGGTTAAGAAAAAATATCTCTCTCTCCATGAACAGGGTGACTGCATTTATTCAAAGAACGGGGCCCTGAATTTCTCCCATAATTTCCAAAGTTTGTACAATTCAAAACTAGCTATTTCCACAGGAGTCACCTTAACTCTAATTTTCTCATAGAATAATAAACTGTTCTCACGTTAATTAGGTTAATTAAATTAATCACGTTAATATAAATGTTAGTCAAGTAGAATTTATTAGTATAATTTGCTATTGCAAGATTTCACGAGTAAATGATTGTAATTTGCAGGAAATGTCCTGTGTGGGTGGGGGATGCAAGGGGTGGGGTGAAGTGATGGTGGGGATTGCTGGTGGCAGGTCACTGAGCATGGAGCCTGAACAAGGGGCCAAGGTTGGAGGGAGGAGAGAAGAGAGATGCAAGAGACGCAGACACACACGAGGAGGTGGGTGGGGAGAGACAGAGAGAATACGCTATGCACATACACCTAGAGACATATCCACAGAAAGACATGGAGCGGGGGGGAGAGAGAGAGAGAGAGCGCCCTGACAGAGATGCCCAGCTACACCAGGGTAGGGGCTGGCCAGGCCATCAGCTCTGTTCAGGATTCCCTCCTCCCCTCCAACCATACCCTTGCCCCACCTGTGCCATCTTCAGCAGGAAGGCATCCACAACATCGACTGCGGGGCCTGAGGAGTCCAGGTTCCCCCGGTGCCGCTGCACCTGCTGGGCAGCGAAGGTAGCCAGGGTGCTCAAGTGTCTGAGGAGCTGTTTGTGGGGGCCTGGCAGGGGCTGCAGGAGCCGGGAGAACATCTCGTAGGTCTGTGGGGAGAAGGACAGCTGTTCTCATGGGGGCCTGGCCACAGGTGGGCAGGAACCTTGGGGAAGGTGCCAGAGAAGCGTCCCACTTACTTACTTGGCCCCATGGGGAGCTGATTGCCAGCAGGGTGCTGCCAGCTGCCTGGACCAAGGCCTGGAACTCCTTATCCTCGTAGGGGAAACGGAGGCCGAAGGTGAGGGAGCAGACAATGTTGGAGGTGGCCTGCGCCAGCAGCAGGGAGGGGTCAAATGCCCGTCCTAGGGGGGCAGGGGGCAGGGAGGAGGGTTGTGATGGAAACAGGCAGAGGGAAGCTGAATTGGAGGTGGAGTGGACCCACAGAGATAGAGTGGCAGCTAGACAGGACCAGAAAGAGACAAGCAGAGAGAGAGACAGACAGACAGAGAGATAGGGGAAGAAAGACAGGCAGAGAGGGATAGACTGGGAAAGATAGAGAGCCAGACAGAGAAAGACAAAAGACAGAGACAGACTTACAGGAGAGAAAAACAGAAGTGGAGAAAGAGACAGAAAGAGTGATGTGAAATACCAGGGACAAAGAGACATAAGGAGGAGGAGGAGATACACGTGGAGGTGAATGGAGCCCCCAGCCCAGCCCCAGAGTCCAAGACTTCCACTCCCGCTCAGTCCTGGGGCCAGGAGGGGAGACTCCCAGGTACAGTGGGAAGGTCCTCCCCATACTCAGGCAGGACTCCAGGGATCCTGGGCTGACCCGCCCTGCTGACCTTCTGTCTTCTGGAGCGCCTCCACTAGACACTGGGTCTCTGCCTGGATCAGCTCCTCGCCTTCTCGCTTCCCCATGCCCAGGTCCCGCAGAGTGAGCATGGTGAATCTCCTCAGCTGCCTCCACCGCTCCCCACTGGAGAAGAAGACCCCTGTGCAGAAGGTAGACTCAAGGAGGGACCAGACCCTCTCCCCATTCCCCAGGGTCACCCCCTTCCTCCCAGTGAGGTGCCCTAAGGGGAAAACTTTGGGCCCTGACCTGAGTCCATACCAGCCTAGCCCAGGGATGAGGACTCAGGAGGTGCTCAATAAACGCCTAACCTTGGGTCAGAGGGTGACACTGTCCTGCGAAATTGGTAACTGGGATTATCCAGGCTCCTCCTGTTCTGTGATTAACCAGGGTGAGTGAAGCTTTCTTCCTTCCTTCTAACTGTCCATCTTGTTATTCCTCTTTTCACCCACCCATCCTTTTATCTTTTTCACCTTTCTCCTCCCTTCCATCCATCCAACCACCCCAACATTTATGGAGTACTACTGGATCCCATCCTTCTATCCATCCATCCCAACATTTAGGGAGTAATATTGGGTCTCATCCATCCATCCATCCATTCCAACACTTATGGAATACTATTAGGTCCCATCCATCCATTCCAACACTTATCGAATACCATTGGGTCCCATGCCCCATGTCGTTTGGAGGCTGAACAGGTAGGAAGGAGGATAGAACTGCACTGTTTTCCTCCTTTATCCAAGAGACCTGCTCTGGACAGACCCTTCCCTGCTCTGAGCTCAATGTTCTACCTGTAGAATGCAGGCCCATGGTGTTCCCCTGGATGCCCCCTCCTGGGTGTTCCCTGCCCACCCACCCCTCCACTGTGTCCCAACCTGGCCTCAGCATCTCTCCTCCTTCCTGTCTCAGCCCATCATCTCCTGCCGCCTGGCTAGAGCCCTGGATTCCGCTCCCAACCACCCCACAGCCCAAGCCCTGGTCCAGCCCAGTCCCCTCCATGGGCTACCACACAGTAACCAGAGGATCCTTCTAATTCTGACTATATTCTTTCCCTGCTTAAAAATCTACTGCTCTCAGGAAAACCCAAAGCCCAAAACTGGCATGACTCAGGCCCTGCGTGACCAGGCTCCGCCGACTTCTCCAGCTTTATTACTCATCCCAGTACCATTGCACTGAGCTTCTCTCACTTCCTCAAAGGTGTCATGAGCCCCCCTCTGGGCCTTTGTCTCTGCTGTTCCCTCTGCCTGGATCATGAACCTCTCCATCCTCGATGAACCAACTCCACTCATCCTTCAGGTCTCAGCTCAAATGTCACCTCCTCTGAGAAGCCTTTCAATTCCTCCCATTCTTTCTCCACTCCCACCAGCCCCCAGGCCAGCACAGGCCCCCTGAGTCCTGCTCTCAACCCTGTAGCTCTCATTTTAGAATTCCATTCTCTCCCTCTATTGTCTTATTGCAAGCCCATCTCTCCCACAGTAAGACAGGACACCATACCTGTCTTGGTCACCTCCATGTCCCCAGAACTCAGTACAGGGCCAGGCATAATGAAAACCTGTCAGTCGAATGAATGAATGCTTCTTTCATCTCCACGCTTTTGTACCTGCTGGTCTCTCTGCCTGGAACACCATTCTCACTCATCCTTTGAGTCTCAGCTCAGACATCCTGTCATTCAGGAAGTTTTCTTGGACATCCCTCACCAATCAGGCTGGGTCAGGTGCCTCCTCCCATTCCTGCAGTTCCGGCGCTTCCCCTATCCTAGTCCTGATCCTTCTGCCTGTGCCTCCCCCATCCCAGGCCTGATCTCTCTGGACTGTCACTGTCCAGTGACAGGTCTGTCACCTCCTAGCCTACGTGCTCTGGGGGAACAGGACTGAGGCTGTTTAGTCCCTGCTGTGGTCCCAGCAGTGCCCAGCACCGCCTTCCTGCTTTCAGTCTCAGCACAGAGGACAGTTTTTAGATTTTGTGTCTGCCCATCAATTTCCAGGGCTTTGAAAGCTCTCCCCCTTCCTCCCAGCCTTCAGGGCTCCACCTGGAGCAGTGATAACACTGCTACAACCTGGTAACTAATGAGTGCTTGCCTTGTGCAAGGCCCAGTCCTCGTTCAAGCCTCAGTATAACCCTATGTAATAGGCACTGTTATCATCCCACTTTGGACCCAGAGACACTAAGCCATGAATGAAGGTCATACACCAGTAAGTGGTGGCAAGCTCTGAATGAAGGAGCCGCCTGCCTCCTGCTCTGCTCATGACTCACCATGGCCATCAAAGGTCTGGTCCAGTGTCGCCAACATCCCCCGCCCACTGAACTCCTCGGCTTGATCTCCCAGGGCCTCCCGCACAGCCTCGTGCCCAACCAGGACCACCACGCGCCGCCAGGGTCCCAGGTACACGGTGAACACTGGTCCATACTGCTTACTCAGCTGGGGAAAGGGAGGGAGAAGGGGGCAGGTGCTGTGGGCAGGCTGCCGCTCTTCCAGTCTAGGTGTCTCTATCACGGTCCCTCTCACTGAATGAGCCACCTGCTCCCTCTATGAAGAGCCCCCTCCCCACCCCAAACGGAAATAGCCCCTTGGGAGGCTCAGTTCTCTTTCTGCGCCAGGCTCCCAGGCCCCATCCCCATGGAGCCCCCTCCCCCAACATACTCTTTAGTCCCCATCCTCTTATCTCCTGCAGATCTCTAACTTCTAACCTTGGGACAACCCAGAACCCACCCCCCCCTCCCCAAACTCAGACATATGGCAGCAAAAATGGGCAGCTGCAGCTTTGGTTTCTCTTAATTCCTCAAGCCATCCCTCCTCCCAAAACTAGCCACCCTTTTCAATCTCTGCTAAACCCTCAAATTCTGGGGCAGATACTGCTGAGCACCTGCCCATCTGTCCCTACGACCCCTGCCCCGCTCGCCACCACGTCCTGGAAGTCCCCCAGACTCCTTCTGAAGGAGTCTGAACCTCTGGCCTCTCCCACTGCCCCCACCCTGCAAAGGTTGGGACTGCCTCAGCCTTCTTTCTTGCTGTCCTTCTCTTCTCTGAACTTCCAGCTCTCTCCTGGCTGAGCTCCATCTGCTTGATTCTCTGCAGACAGATTCCTGGAACCCTCCAGCCTCTGCCTCCACTTCCCCCCCAGGGGCCCCTTCCCTTTTTCTTCTCTGCTTCCTCCTCAGGATAGCTCCCCTCAACCTCCCAGCTACCTCTCCCCCTGGGACAAGCTCACCACCATCACACCAGTAGCTCCCCTTCTGTTTGAGGACTCTGGTCTTACTCAGCTTTGGTCCCCTGCTCCCACCACCTTCCCAGGATTCTGTGGGCCCCTCTGCCCAGGACATCTGCTACTGGATCCCACTTCCCTGCTCTCACATCCTCTCCAGGATTCTGTGGGCAGAGGTCTCTGCCCCTCCTAGCCCTGCCCCCCTGCATCCTCTCTCCCGAGGCACCCCTCTCCTTCTCAGCCCTGGTTCCCTGCTCCTGCCCCACCCGAGGACACCCGTAGTCCCTTTGCACTGGAACCCTGCGCCTGCCTCCTCTAGGATAACAGAAGGCCTCTCTGCCCTGGCACTCTGGTTCCTCTCCCTGGGGACCCCCGCCCCCCGGCCACGGCGTTCTCCTGGCGCCTCACCCGCAAGAGCCCCAAGTACAGCGCCCCGGGCCGGAGCTGCAGGAGGTTCCCCAGCAGTGGCAGCGGCGCGGGCCCGGGGGGCAGGTGGCCTCGCGTCCAGGTCCGGGGCAGCACCAGCGTCAGCACCAGGAGCAGCAGCAGCACCAGCAGCAGCGTCCAGGTGCCGCCCGCCTCCATCTCGGCAGGTTGGCTCCCTCTCCTTGCTCCCAGACGCTCCACGCGGCTGGGCCGGTTGGGGGCGGGAGCCGGTGGCTCCCTCCTTAAGGAAATCTGGCGGAGGGGGCGGGGCAGCTAGCCCCTCCCCCTGCCTATAAGCAGCATTCGCTCCCCGCCGCCGGATTTCTTTCTCCCAGACCACCGCCGCCACCTGGTGTCGAGGCCGCGCTCTCGAACGGATGTCTCCCAGGTCACCCAGGTTCTGAGGGCGGAGACAGCGCCTTGGGCTCCAGGTAGGGCGTGGGCAAACAGGAGCAACCTGGAAGCCAGAGACTTTGGCCGCCTCGGGAGGCCACACCCTGTGCCTGGCGGTGACTACCCCGCCTCCCTCCTCATCGTAATCGTGGTGTGCGTTCACGTGCGCGTAAGTGTGTGTTGTCTTTGAGCCAAGTTCCTCCAGCATCTTACATCTTCCCCGCGAACTAGCAGAAAGGTCTTGACCTTGAGCAATAATCTGGTCAGAGAGGTAAATGAGTTGGCCCTAGGCCACCCAGCCAGCCAGCGGCAGAGCTGGGATTTGAACTCAAGCCAGTCTGAATGATTGACTGAATCATTCATTCACTTAGCAGTATAGTATAGTGGTTAGGAACATGTCTGAAGCCAGAGTTCACAGTCTAGCTTCTCTGTGCCTCTCTGTTAACTCGTTTGTAAAACGGGGATAGTTTTCAGGATTAAATAGGTACAATGTGGACACAACTTAAACAGGAACAGGTGCATATAGAACAAGTGTTAAATAAATGTTAGCTAATATTCTTTCACTAGTAGCTGTTCTTCAGGTCTAACTATAAGCTAGACTTTGTTCTGGACCTGGGGATGCAGCTATGAGTAACAGAGAAGGGTGCTGCCCTCCTGAAGCTCATATCCACATGCCAACGAAATCATAAATTAAGATAATTTCAGGTAGTGCAAAGGCCTGCCAGGGGAATGAGCTTATTGAGGAAGAAGGTTGGAAGGTCAGGTCCGTGCTGTTTGGTTCAAAGCTGTATCCCCGGCGTCTAGAGCAGTGCCTGGCACATGGTAGGTGCTCAATAAATATTTGTTGCGCCAAAGATTGAATGTAGGAGATGGGGTCTTCGAGGTCAACAGGGACCAGTCTTGCAGGGCCATGGAAAAAACTTTGCATTTCATTTCTAGTGCGAAGGGAGCAGTCGAAGGGTTTCCAGCACGGCAGTTGCTTGGTTTGCTTTGCCTTTTCATTTAACATTTTCTTCCGAAAACTTTCAAACCTACAGTAGACACCTGTATATTCACCACCATAGATTCCACCAGTAACATTTTACTATCCTTAGTTTGTTACATATCTATTCCTCTTGCCCCATCAACTCATCTAACTTTTTTGGATGTGTTTCAAAGACAGTTGCAGACACCAGTATACTTCAATCCTAAACACCTCAGCATGCAGTGCATTTGGTAGAGTTCAATATTTGCATACAGGCATTCATCCTCCCCCCTCCTGCCGCCAGGGTAAATTGACATACAATGAAATGCACAAATCTTAAGTGTATTTTAGATGAATTTCAACAAATGCATACATCTGTGTGACCCAAACTCCTATCAGCACACAGGGAGTCACCATCATCCCAGAAACCTCTCTCAAGCCCCTTCTCAATCCCACCTGGCCCCCACACTGTGCTGATCACCCCCCTTCTGGAGATTAGACTTCTCTGTGTTTAAAGAGACCTTTCTGTCTTCCCTGTGGTGAAGAGATTATGGGGAGCAGAGGAAGAAAAAGCAGGGAACTTAGTGCAGGGTCCAGGCAATGAGGACGCAGGGCTGGGTGGGTGGCAGTGGGGAGAGAAAGAAATGGATACATTTGGGATGTATTGGGAGGTAGAGCGCGAGAACGTGCTGACAATTTGTGATTGAAGGCAAAGGTAGGAATCCAGGTTAATTCTGTCAAATAAAAGCAGATGTCTTAGCTAAGGAAGGATTTTATTCGAAAAGACTATTGCAATAGAGGGAAAGAGACTATTACAAAGACAGAGGACCACATCAGAATCTGATCATCCAGAAGGGCAAAATTTTTTCCCCTACTGCTAGGCTTTTTGTCCTGGGCAGATGGAAAGATGGCGGTGCCTTTTACAGAGGTGAGGAGGGGGATAAGAGAAGGTATGGGAACCAACTGGGGTTGGGAAGCTGGCAGAGCAGGTTTTGCAGGAGGGAGAGGAATGGGGAATTCTCTTTTGTCCCCAAGAAGTTTGAGATGGCTGTTAGCTGTCGCAGGAGAAGAGCTGAGTGGGCAGACAAGTAAGAGGTTGGATTTGGGATCTCCTGGAACCCTCCCGAATAAAGAAAGGAGGAACTAAGAGTTGGCACCTACTTCATGGTAGCAAAGTGTAGCCCAGCGTCCCTGCCTCTCCAACCCCTATTTCAGGGTGCACCCTTCGGATGTCAGATGCTGGAATCGAGACCAGAGGAGACTGCAGGAAGCATTCTGCTCATGTTTTGAGGGACAGGGCTCTGGCCTAGAATACAAATTAGAAGATTGCATGGGCGGGCCCAGTGGCACAGCGGTTAAGTTTGCACGTTCCGCTTCTCGGCAGCCCAGGGTTTGAGGGTTTGGATCCCGGGTGTGGACATGGCACCGCTTGGCAAACGCCATGCTGTGGTAGGTGTCCCACGTATAAAGGAGAGGAAGATGGGCATGGATGTTAGCTCAGGGCCAGTCTTCCTCAGCAAAAAGAGCAGGATTGGCAGTAGTTAGCTCAGGGCTAATCTTCCTCAAAAAAAAGAAAAAAGAAATTAGAAGATTGCAAAGGCTCTTAAAAGTCTTATGTTTTAAGATGACTCTAATTGCAAGATCCTAGAAATAAGAATACTTAAAAGTTCCCAAGATTCTAGAGATTCCAAGACAAGACTTCCCACTAACCTGGTAATAAAATTCAAGCCCCTTACGCTGGCCTACAAGGTCCTATGGGATCTGTCCACTGGCTGCTGATTTTGGCATCATCTTGGCCCACCCTATTCTCTGCTCATGATGCTCCACTCATGTTGGCCTTCTTTCAGGTTCTTGAACACCAAGCCAGCCGGAGGGCCTTTGCACTAGCTCTCTGCCTGAAATGCGTGGCCTGGAGATTGAGATTGGCTCATTCTCTGTTCCCAGCTCAAAGCCCAGTGCCCTCCAGAAGAGACTTTCCCAGACCTTCCTGTCATTTATTAAATAAGGTATTTAATAAATATTCAATGAGTTAATATTTTTGAAGCCATTTGCAATAGTGCCTGGCATACAGTGAGCTCTGAAGGTGTTTGTTAAACACATAAAAATTTTTCTTTGTAGCCTCTTATCACTACCTGAAGGCATCTTATATATTGATTTACATTTTTATTCTGGTTTCCTCCACCAGAACGTTCTCTCCGTGAGGGCAGGGACTTATCTCTTTGGTTCACTGCTGTGTCCCCAGTGTCTGGCACACAGTAGGTGCCCAATAAATATTTTGTTGAATGAATGATTTGAATACAATTTGCTAGTCTCTCAAATTCATCTAAAGAGCAGTCAAGGTTTTGGAATTCTCAAGTCTAAAGACCAAGGATGAAGAGGTTCCCAACAGAGATTTCTGAGTCATCTCTGGTGGGTCCTGGCCCCTCCTCACCCTGGGTCAGGAGATGCCCATACATCTTGTTCAGCAGCTGACAGCTGACCGCCTCCACCCCTCACTGGCTACTTCCCATCAGACACCCTCTGATCTGGGTTGGGTGGGGCCAGAGTGACCCTCTTTATTTTATTTATTTGTTTTTTTATAAAATTGTCTTAGGGCATTTTTTTTTAAAGATTTTATTTATTTATTTTTTTCCTTTTTCTCCCCAAAGGCCCCCGGTACATAGTTGTATATTCTTCGTTGTGGGTGCTTCTAGTTGTGGCATGTGGGACGCTGCCTCAGCGTGGTTTGATGAGCAGTGCCATGTCCGCGCCCAGGATTCCAACCAACGAAACACTGGGCTGCCTGCAGCAGAGTGCGTGAACTTAACCACTCAGCCACAGGGCCAGGACCCAACCCTCTTTAAATTTAGCTTCCTACCATGGATTTTCTCAGACCACGCTGGAGGCTGCCAACCCCAGATTCCAGCAGGCTGAGTGGTGGATGGGTTCTGGAAATTGCTGGGGGTTGATTTTGCTTGGGATCCCCCAAACCTTATGTTTCTAGAACTTGACTTGCTGTCTGGGGATGAGCCATGGCTCATCTGCTCTCTGGCCCATGCCTCCACACCGCCCCCCCCCCCCCCCCCCCCCCCCCCCTCCCAGCCTTGCCTATCTTAGTCTCTCTCCCTTCTGTCCATCAGAGGCACCCCACCCAGCACCCAGAACTGGGCAAAGGGGAAGCTTAGGATGAGTCTTGCTTCCTTCCGCTACCCTATGTTGGGGCGTCCTCAGATTCTAAGAGCATCCCTGGCCGTGAGTGATGTTGGGCAATTGACAAGCAGCAATTGACACAGACAGCAAAGCAGCAATGTGCTTGGGCCTTCTACTGCTGTCCCCTTGTCCCATCCCTGCATCCCATCTCTCATCCACCCCTCATCTAACCTCTTCCTCCTCTTACTCGCTGCTTTATCCCATGTCTCACCCCATCCTCTCTTTTCCTAAGACCTTCTATGTATCATACCCTGTAGGGGGGTGGCGGTAAAAAAATAAAGCACTGCTCCCACAAATTTTACATCAGGTAGGCGGCCATGGGCTGAGAAAGATGAAATTGCAGGTCGTCTCCGTGATGGCTCTTGCTCCCTCCCCTCCATCTCTGTATCTGATTATCATCTGGTTCCACCTCCCCGCTTTCTTCTGTTGTAAAAATAATTAGTTATTTCAAATACAGAGACAGGACAGGTTTAGAGGAATTGTTGTGATTAGCCGTGTATGCACACCTATCTATTATATCTTAACACTTTTACCGTTCATTTATTTAGAGAAATAAAACCTTCTTGACTGGGTTGTGGGGTCCCTTCGCAGATGTCATGTTCCTCCCTCCCTCCTTCCCCCAGGGAACCACTCTTGTACAGTTAATATTCTGAGACACCTTTTTATTCTTTTGTTGCATATTTGTGCATCCACACACTTATTTGGGAAAATATTCTTTTGCAGGTTTAAAAACTTTATACACAGGGCAGCACATGACATCCACGTATCTTTCTGCCACTGACCTTTTTTCTTCAGTTTATGAGATTTATTCATGTCTATGCTTGCAGCTCTGGTTCATTTAACTCCTGGGAAGCATTTCGTGGAATGGTTTTGACACAATGCCTCCATCCATCTCCCCTAGGGACCCATCTCTAGGTTGTTTTGTTTCTTCCTCTTACAGACACCACTGCACACTGCATCTTTCTGTGGGTTGAGAATTTCCTCATTTCAATTGCCTGAGTCATGGGGGTCTGGTTCCTTCAGCTTGCATCATGTGGCTTTACTCTGCCCCCTCCTGCCCTCCCCTCTGGCCCAGCCCAGTCCCCTCCCACCTGGGCCCTGCCCAGTCTCCTCCCAGAGCTCCTGGCTTCTAGGCCTCCAGGCTCCCCTTTCCCATCCACCCTCCACTCGCAGCCAGGGGGTCTGTAAACTGCACATCTGTGATCATTTGTCTGATGCTGGTTGCGCCTCCAAGCCCAAAGCTGGAGGATCACGGGAACAGGGACTGTCTTTCTCTCCCCTGGGTGTCTGTGTCCCACACAGCACCTGGCTGGGAAGACACAGACATTAAGTGGGATGGAAATGTACCAGTTTCAGCAGCTGGCTTTGGAATTCTCCTCGGGCAAGAATTGTCTTGGTTGCTGGAAATATGTGGCTCAGCTGGTTGGTGGAGGCAGGGAGTGGAAGGGGCTGGAGGGCGGCATCTTAAGAAATGGCTGGTGGGACCCAGGGCAGCAAAGGAGCGAACCTGATGGTTCTTCGTTCAAAAGGAACAGAAAATTCAGGGAGGTGAAATGCAGAGGAGGTGGGGCCCCAAGTTTGAGCTTTGAAAGGCTGGAGCCTCTGGTTTAGAAACTTTTGGGAACAGGAGTTACCTGAATTCAATTGCCACTGCCATTGCCATGTCTTTTTGTATGACTTTGGCCAAATTATTCAAGCTCTCAGTTTTCCCCATCTGTAAATAGAGCTCGTGACTGTACCTCCCTCCCAGGGATGCAGTAATCAACAAATGCAATAACTCTGCTATCCAGGGTGGCGGTGGTGCAGCAGGTAAGTTTGCGTGTTCTGCTTCAGTGGCCCCGGGTTTGCAGGTTCAGATCCCGGGTGCAGCCCTACGCACTGGTTTATCAAGCCATGCTGTGGCAGGCATGTCACATATAAAGTAGAGGAAGATGGGCACGGATGTTAGCTCCGGGCCAATCTTCCTCAAAAAGAAAAAAAAAAAAAACCAAGGAAAATAAAAATAACTGTGCTATCCACATGGTGGCTTGCCCATAATCACCTTGTGGGGAGCCCGTGAGAGCAAGGCTGGGTTTTTTGTTCGTCTCTGAATCCCCAGCTTTTCAGGCTCAGTAAATAGTGAGCCGCCACCCCTCAGCCCCCACCTCAGGCTGAGTTAAGGAATCTCCTTTGGGTTCCTTCTCCAAAAGGTATGAATCATACAAGCCCCCGTTAATACTTTGAGGGAGGTTCTAATATATCATCCCTGTCTTCCTCTTTAGATGAGGAATTGGGGGCAGAAGAAAGTTAAGTTACCTGCTCAAGGTCACACAGCTCGTAAGTATCTGTGGTTCTGGGTGGTTGTTCACTCTCCTTCCCTCTCTTCCCTCTCTCTCTCCTCCCTCAGCTTAGGGGAACTGTTTTGTTCCACCCCTATTCCCCAACCTCCCTATAAGGGGGTGGTCGCTCTGGGCGGTGAAGAAAAAATAAGAGTGATTCCCATTCTGACGCCCACCCTTCCCTATTCTGCCGGGACCCCAGAACGGCCGTATCCACCCTCCCACCCTCCTGCTTCCTCCGCCGCTCACGCACGGATTCCACTAGGGGGCGCCCTCTGCCCCACAGGTCACTGGGGTGTAGGCTTGGGAGAAGAGAGGGGAAAGGAGCCAAGTGGGAGAAGAGGAGGAGGTCTCCGACGTGGGGAGAAAACCCCAGTCTGGCGGCGTTCAGGAGAACTAGAGAGGGACAGATGATAATACGCCCCCTTCCTCCCTGCACCCCGTCCCCTCCTCTCCTTCCACTTGCTCTTTGTGGCCGGGAGCTACTTGGGTTCCAATTCCGGGCTGGGCTTGAGGACAAGTGACGTATAACCTCCCTCTATTCCAGTTTCTCATCAGTAAGGTGGGGATGATATATTAGTACCTCCCTCGGAAGCTTAAAGGGCATTGCGTGATTAATGACAAAAGGGAGCAAAGAGTCACTATGAGCTGGCTGGCATTTCTGCCTTCTTGATCTAGGTGCGTGTTCTGTGCCAGGCGTGGCGCCCAAATCTAACAACAGCCCGGGGTCAATGTCGTTATTATCTCCATGATTACTTTTCATAGAAATTCAGTTACTCAAATAGAAGGTGATTATGAGCTCATAAAAACTTTCAAAGACTACAGACCAGGAATTCGCTTTCTCCACATCAATGCCTCACTCCCTGGTCCTGCCCCTTGCAGCCCCCACCCAGGCGTCAATTCTAGGAACTCAGTTCAGCTGCCGCAACCAGCCTGGACTGGTTCTCTTTATTTTCTATCTTTCTACAGAGTGAGACTCACCCTTAGATAGCTGACCAGAGGCCCGGCTCAGGGTCAGGGGGTCAATGGCTCCTGGCGTTACTTTGGGAACGTCACGTCCCTCTTTATGCATCTGCGTCTCCAAATCTAAAGTCCAGGTTTAATTTCAGGTTATATTTAATTTAATTCCAGGTTATATTTCAACAGGGCGGAATAAGGAGTGGCTGGGGGAGATCCAGAGGGCGAGGATGCAGAGGGGCCCTCTGCCTGTGGCAAGTGCCAGAGGCCCCAGGGTGCCCTTACATCCAGAGTTGAGGCCAGCCAACTCTGTGCCCAGGCCTGGCAAGCGCCTACCCTAGCCTAGGAGTGGTGGGTGTCAGGGAGGGCTTCCTGGAGGAGGGCATGCGTGAGTCTGCAGAATGAGTGGAGGAAGATCATGGGGAAGAGTGTTCCTTGTAGAGGGAACAGCATGTTGGGAGGCTCAGAGGGTAGCACGGGTGTTGGAGGAACTCGGTTGTTGATGATTCCAGTACAGAGTGCTGGGGGGCAGGTGGGGGAGTTGGTTTCTCACCTCAAGGAGGGGCAGGGGTTGGGAGGAAAAAGGGGAGCAACCGTTCCAGGTGGGGAAACAGCCTGTCCTGAGACCTGGGAGGTAGTGTGGAGACCCAGAAGGCCCTTGTGGCTGCAGTGGGAAGGGGGCAGGCAGAGACCAGATGATGCCAGAGCTGGGCAGCGGGCATAGATGTGGGGGTTCTTAGCAGACATTCAGCAGCATTTGAAGCCCTCTGAATGGCTGGACTTACCCCAGAGAGAGAACGAGGAGAAGACTTGGGTCCTACCCCCAGGAATCCCAGCCTTTGGAGGAGGGGAGAGGAGGTGGGGGAATCAAGGAGACTGAGGCTGAGGGCCCTGGGAGAGAGGGAGACTGCCACCACCAGGTGGGTGGAGTAGAGGTTCTTAGCCAACTTGCCGCCAGAATTTGTATTTTCTAATACTTTTCAAAAAATGATATGTGGCTAGTATTTATTTTGCATTAAAATTTGTCTTTTTAAGGAAGATTGGCAACAGATATTAGCTCAGGGTGAATCTTCCTCAGCAAAAAAAAGAAAAAAAAACTTTTTAGAATTTTGTGCCAGTCTTGAAGATCACTGGAGATGCTTCTATCTTTGCCTACTATTTTCTAGGAAGTTTTAAATCAATATTGTAAATGTTATAACCAGAGTTCAGTGTTTTAAAAAATCATAGCTTTGGGGATCTAGCTCTGTGAAACCCTGAATTTGGTGCCACAGTTTTTTTTTTTTAAGATTTTATTTTTCCTTTTGCTCCCAAAGCCCCCTGGTACCTAGTTGTGTATTTTCAGTTGTGGGTCCTTCTAGTTGTGGCATGTGGGACACCGCCTCAGCATGGCCTGATGAGCGGTGCCCTGTCCGCGCCCAGGATTCAAAGCAGTGAAACCCTGGGCTGCCGAAGCAGAGCACGGGAACCTAACCGCTCGGCCACGGGGCCAGCCCCTTGGTGCCACAGTTTTGACTGAGTTCCTTTTCAGTTATCTTGAGAGGGGCAGTCTTCTATTTTGTCTTTGTAGTACATAAAATTTTTTGGGAAAATTTTGTATCTCTACACATTTTTAAGTTGATGGCAAACTTTTTCTCATGTTTAAATCGTTGTCATTTCTGGTGTATTGTGAATATTGACATTTAAAAACAAAAGGTGTGCTGTTCTTTTAAATATATCCAGTGGAATCTTTGAGACCTGAGATCTATTAAACATTTACAAAAAGACGTAAGCACGTTTTTCTTTAATTTCATAGTTTCTTTTTTCTCTTTGAACTTGTATTTCATTTCACTTCTGCCACAGAACTTTATCCTAATATATTTTTATGCTTAAGTAACTTTTAGTGATCATCCTATCGTGTTTCTGCCCAACAAAAATATGTAAACAAATAGAAATTAAACAAAATTTGTTTCTTGTGACCATTAGTTTCTGAGAAATTAACATTTTTCCTCCTGAATTGAGTTTTTTAAAAAAGATTTTGTTGTTTTTTGTTTGTTTTGTTCCTTTTTTTGTGTGTGAGGAAGATTGGCTCTGAGCTAACATCTGTGCCAATCTTCCTCTATTTTGTATGTGGGTCGCTTCCACAGCATGGCTTGATGAGCAGTGTGTAGGTCTGTGCCTGGGATCTGAACTGGCAAACCACAGGCCGCTGAAGTGGAGCATGTGAACTTAACCACTATGCCACTGGGCTGGCCCCAGTGGATTGAGTTTTTATTACAACTAGTATTTGTACAGAAGTGATCAAAACATAAATCGTTACATAATTTGATATGCAATTATTAAACATAGAAAGAAAAATTATATTTCACATTTATTTCTTAACATGAATGGGCTTCTTTCCCAATTAGTTCTTGTATTTGTCAATAAATATTACTCATTTTACCGATAGAATTCTAGTCAGTATGAATGATGCTTCCATGAGCATTTAACATACACATCTCTAGATACGTTTATGCATTTTTGCTACCCAGGAGAAAAACTGATGTGTCATTGGATGCTCATTTCTTTCACCTTAGTGGTTCGTACTAAATTTCAAAAGCGACCATTACTAATTCACATTTGGAGCAGCAGTGTATGAGCTGGTCTGTTCCACATCTTTGCCAAAATTTGCTCCAGATCTTTTAAATTTAGCAAATCTGTGAGTTTGTAGTTGCGTTGTGGTTTTAATTTGCCTTCCGTGATGGCTAATGACGTCGAGCATCTTTTGATTCGTTTATTGGCCGTTTAAACTTCCTCTCTTGTAAATGGCTATTGTCAGTTTTGTCCATTTTTCATTTGGGTTGTCTGCCTTCTTATGATTGATTTCTAGTAATTCTTTCTCTATCCTGGATGTGAGCTCTTTGCTGGTCATTTTTGGCAAATATCTTTTCCACCCTGTGATTTGCCTTTTCATTCTTTGTTTGGTGTCTTCTGATGAACTCTCTTTGAATGTAGTGCCATTTGTCAGTCTTTTTCCGTGATTGTTAATGCTTTTTTGTGTCCTATTTAGGAACACTTCTCCTTCCTTGATATGCTCCTATATTATCTTCTAAAACTTTTATTGCTTTGCCTTTCACATTTTGATCTACCATCTACCTGGAATTGATATTTGGTGTCATGTCAGGTTGGTGTCAAACATTTTTTTCTCCATATACTCAATTGTCTCAGTCCCATTATTGAAAAAAACCATCCTTTCCCCACTGCTCTGTAATGGCATCTCTAGCGGCAACCAAATGTGGGTCCCTGTTTTGGGCTGTCTCGTGTCTTCCATTGGTCTCTGTTCATGCTTGTGGCAGTTCTACACCGTCCTAATCTCTATGGCTTCATAATCAATTTTGATATCGAGTAGAGTAAATCCTCTCACCTTTTTCCTATTTAGGAGTTTCTTGGCTTTTCTCGATGCTTTGCATTTCCACACACATTATTTTTATTTTCCAGCTTTATTGAGATAGTTGACATATAATGTTGTATAAGTTTAATGGGCTACTATCCATATGCGGTTTAGAATGAGTTTATCAAATTCCACAAAATAACCTTTTGGAGTTTTGCTTTGACTTAGAGTGAATCTATAGATCTATTTGAGGAGAACTGACGTATTTAAAATATTGTCTGCCAATTCATTAATATAGTTTCTCTCTCCATTTATTTGTCTTTTTAATTTATCTCAATATTATTTCATTGTTTTTCTCTGTAACGTTCCTGCATATCTTTTGTTAGATTTATTCCTAGGTATTTGATATTTTTACATGCTGTTTTAAAATTCCATCTGCCAATTGTGGCTTTCATCTAGAAACACAAATATATTGATTTGGTATCCAGTAATCTTTCTGTGCTCACTTATTAATTTTTGGATTTACACCTACAGATTATGTCATTTGCAAGTAATGGCAGGTCTGTTGCTTCCTTGACAGCCCTTATGCTATTTATTTATTTATTTTTATTTATTTACTTATTAAACTTAGTGCACAGGCTAAATCCTTCAGTACAATGTTGAAGAAAAGTTGTGAGAGAATAAGCATCCTTGTCTTGTTGCCAATCTCAAAGGGAAAACTTTCAGTGTTTCACTATTAGGTAAGAACTTTGCTGCAGGAAACTTTATCAGATAAAGGCATTTTATTCTTAGTTTTCTAGGAAGTTTTTTTAAAAGCATGAATCAGTGTTGAATTTTGTCAAATAGTTTTTCAGATCCATCGAGGTCATCATATAATTTTTCTCCTTTAATCTGTTAATTAAATAGAATAATTTTCTCAAGTTAAGCCATCCTTCCTGGGATAAAGGCAAGTGAATTATGGTAAATGAACCTTTTTATATTATGCAAGATTCTGTTTGCTAGATTTGATTTATGATTTTTACATCTGAATTCATTAATGAGATTGGCCGGTAGTTTTACTTTCTTACATCGTGTAAGGCAGGTTTTGGTATCAAGTTTCTGCTGTTGTTTCTTCACCAAAGCTGCTCTTTTCCTCTTCCCTGAAAGAGCTTATATAAGGTTGGCAGAATTTCTTCCTGAACTCTTTAGTAAGATTCACTAGTGAAACTCTCAGAAACATTAGAGGGGAAAATGTTTACTTATAGATTCAATTTCCTTTATCATCGTAGGACTATTCATGTTTATTATTTCTTCTTGTGTCCATTTGGCAAGTTGGATTATTATTATTATTATTTTAAAGATTTTATTTTTTTCTTTTTCTCCTCAAAGCCCCCCAGTACATAGTTGTATATTCTTTGTTGTGGGTCCTTCTAGTTGTGGCATGTGGGACGCTGCCTCAGCGTGGTTTGACGAGCAGTGCCATGTCCGCACCCAGGATTCGAACCAACGAAACACTGGGCCGCCTGCAGCGGAGCGCGCGAACTCAACCACTCAGCCACGGGGCCAGCCCCATTATTATTTTTTTTTTAATTGAGAATTTGTCCACTTAATTTATTTTTCAAACATTTTTGGCATAAAATTGTTCTGGTAGTCTCTTTCTCGTGTTTACTTTTGTTTAAAAAATTTCATTCTTTTCTCTCTCTCTCTCTTTTTAAGCAAGAGAAAAACAAACAGAATTTTATTAACATGTATACCTCATGAATACATGGGAGAGATCCAGGGAAAAATGAGTAAGTCCCCTTTCTGTTTTCATGCAAGCATGGAGAAAATGTGTTCACACAATTAAATAGATGGGAATAAAAAAAAACCCAAACAGGGGCTGGCCCAGTGGCTTTGTGGTTAAATTTGTGCACTCTTCTTCCGCAGCCTGGGGTTTGCCAGTTTGGATCCTGGGCACAGACCTATGCACTGCTTATCAAGCCATGCTGTGTTGGCCTCTCACATACAAAATAGAGGAAGATTGCCACAGATGTTAGCTCAGCGACAGTCTTCCTCAAGCAAAAAGAGGAAGATTGGCAACAGATGTTAGCTCAGGGCTAATCTTCCTCATCAAAAAAAGAAAAAAAAGAGGCTGGCTTGGTGGTGTAGCAGTTGAGTGCGCACATTCCACTTCGGTGGCCTGGGGTTCACCAGTTTGGATCCCGGGTGTGGACATGGCACCGCTTGGCAGGCCATGCTGTGGCAGGCGTCCCACATATAAAGTAGAGGAAGATGGGCACAGATATTTGCTCAGGGCCAGTCTTCCTCAGCAAAAAAAAAGAGAAGGATTGGCAGCAGATGTTAGCTCAGGGCTAATCTTCCTCAAAAAAAACAAAAAACAGAAAACCAACCAAAATAATCCCAGACAAACCCAGTATAGCAATGTCTTTTAATTCTTTGAACTCTTTCTAAGCTAAGTACCAAAAATCAGTTGTGATCTATCTCCAAAAAAGAGTTTGGTGATTTCTCAGCTGACGATCTGTCTAGGTCTTTCTTCAGTTTTGTTGAATGCAAAGTATTGGAAGCAAAAAACTTGAAAAGTGAAGATTTGCAAAAGGATTCATCATCCAGTCATTAGAGCTTCTCCCTTTCTCAACACCAGTATTAATATTCTAGATGTCTCTTTGGTCAACCGGGAAACTTTCTGCCCTGAGAGCATGCCTTGAGAATGAAGGGAGGCAGGATTTTTTGTTTTTTTAAAAAGTAGGTGAAGGGTGGAGATGGAAAGTGGGTACGTCGTTCCTACAGGGACTTTCTCAGACAGATTTTTTTCAGGAAATTGTCCATTGGGAGGATGAGGATCTGGACATTAATTTCCTTTAATTAATCCCTGTATCTGCCTATTCCGTGGAAAATCCTTATGGACACTTCCTCATGTACATATCCCAGAGTAAGGACCAGTCCCTACCTTGAAGAGCCGTGATGTTTTCTGTCTTACACTCTCTGATCTGTTGTGTGCTGCATTAAGAAAGGAGTTGGTCTGGGGCTGGCCCCGTGGTTGAGTGGTTAAGTTCGTGCACTCTGCTGCAGGCGACCCAGTGTTTCATTGGTTCGAATCCTGGGCGCGGACATTGCACTGCTCATCAAACCACGCTGAGGCGGCGTCCCACATGCCACAACTAAAAGGACCCACAACAAAGAATATACAACTATGTACCGGGGGGCCTTGGGGAGAAAAAGGAAAAAAATAAAATCTTTAAAAAAAAAAAAAAAGAAAGGAGTTGGTCTTAGTTCCTGTATCACAATCCAGAGCATCCAGCACTGTGTCCTGACAGATGCTCGGCCCTAAGTTGCTGGGCATTGCCAGCACAGACCTGATTATAAATAACTGCTGCAAACTCAACAGCAATAATATATAGAGTGTGTGTGGGGCTGTGCTGTACACTTAAGAGGCATTAATGAATTTAATCCCCATTTTACAGATGAGGAAACTGAGGCCCAGGAGTGTTCAGTCACTTTCCCAAGACCACCCAACCAATAACTGGCAGGCCTGGGGCTCGAAACCAGGTATGTCTGAATCCAAAGCCTGTGCCACACTGCCTGGGAACTCTAGGCTCTCAGGACTGTGGAACTGTAACCTTGGAACCCTGTTAGACACCTTCTCATTCATCACCTTTGTTTTGCAAAGGAGGGCCTGGGACCAGAATCAGGGAGTAGCTTGTGCAAAGTCATCCACTCAGGCATAGCAGGTGAAAGGTGTGAGGGGAAAAGCCAGAGGCACGGGTGGGAACCTCTCCCTATTGATATTATAATACCCAGAACTTTGGCACAGTTTCTTTTGACGATAAACACCTATGGCAACAGCTGAATGAGTTCCTTAATCTTTTGAGAAATTTCTCCAGGAGGCAGGGGTGTGGCTGAGATGACTTCAGGGCCCATACCAGATGCTACGAAGCTTGGATTCTCTTCCAGGGCCAATGAGCAGGGGCTGGACCATCTCACACTGTCAGTGGATGTTCCAGTAGAGGACAAAACAGCAATGTGAGTCCTGGCTCCAGGTTCAAACTGACTGTTGGTCCAGGCATCAGAATGAGTCTTAACCCTGGACCTATACTGAACCCTAAATCCAGCCATGGAGGGAAATCCAGGGAGAGGGCAGAGCCTGGGTGAAGACCAGGAGGTGAGACATGTGTGGTCACAATGGGGGCACTGGGCTGTTTAGGCCAGAAGGACACCCCAGCTCTTTGTTGCCACAGCAGCCACTGCAGAGGTATGGAATGGAGGAAGTTGAGCCTGGGGATCAGTCAGGGACAGGCCTCCCTTTTGTCGCATTTCAGAACAACAAATTGATATTAGTTTCCTTGCTGCAAATTACCACCATTTTAGCAAGTTGAAACAACACAAGTTTGTTCTTTTACAGTTCTGGAAGTCATGTCTGAAATGAGCCTCAGGGGGCTAAAATCAAGGTGCCAGCAGGGCTGTTTCCTTCTGGAGGCTCCAGGGAGAATCTCTTCTCTGCGTCTTCCAGCGTCTGGAAGCTGTCCACATTCCTGGGCTCGTGGCTGCTTCATGCAATCTCTGCTTCCATCATCACATCTCCTTCTCTGACTCCGACTCTTCTGCCTCCCTCTTATAAGGACCCTTGCGATGACAGTGGACCACCAGGATAATCCAGAATAATATCCCCATCTCAAGATCTTTAATTTAGTCACACCTGCCAAGTCTCCTTTACCATGGAAGGGAGCACATCCCGGGGATTAAGTCATGGGTGTCTTTAGGGGAGGTGGGCATTATTCAGGCTCCCACACTAGATAAAGCAGATGCAGGGGTCTCAGTCTCCTATGGAATTCCTTCAGGAAGCAAATCCTGGGGTGCCTTTGGGGAGAGCTCCCCTTTGCACTCACTCTCTCCCCCTCTCCACAGCACCTCAGTTGAACTGATCACCATTTCTAGTTAAATCATTATTGACTGTTTACATTATTACGACTATGTCATAGAGTTCACAGCTGGGCCAGGTAGTGACCTACAGCTACATTTTCTTTCTGCTATGGGCTTGTTTTTCCTAAGGTTAATAACTGCTTTGTCTTTCATTGGCTTACTTTTCTATGCACTTGTCAACATTTCATTCCCAGATTCTGACATAACCATGAAACTCTCACCATGATCAACCACCCCGGAGAATCATCCTCATGACACTCAAAAGAACCTCACGGGTCACCTTGGAAGGACGCTGAGGAACTGACCCCTTTTTTTGAAAACTGATAAATAATGGAAAGAATTAAGCATTTCTGTTGCTTTTTCTATCAAACTATACATCAAGACCTTCTTTCTCTTAAGCTGAATATCTTGGTTCTTAATTATATCAACATCGTTTATGTGCTTTATCTTCTCTAATCATCGATATCTGTTTATGCATCAATATCATATGTCTATACCCTACATATATCACCTATATTTAAATCATCTACCTATATATCATCTACATCTATATAATCTATATATCTATATCATCTTTATAGTATAGATATCTATGTCTATACCATCTATCTATATCACTATCATATATCAATGCTAATATTATATATCCATATTTATACTCTATATACATCTAATAGTTTCAAAATAGCTACATCAGTATTACTATATAATTACTGAAAGCCATTTAAGGTGTTTTTCTGGTTCTTTTTTTTTTTTTTTCCCTGCTGAGGAAGATTCACCCTGAGCTAACATCTGTTGCCAATCTTCCTCCTTTTGCCTGAGAAGGATTTGCCCTGAGCTAACATCTGGGGAAGTCTTCCTCTATTTTGTATGTGGGTCACTGCCACTGCATGGCTAGATGAATTGGTGTAGTTCCGTGCCCAGGAACCAAACCTGGGCCACCAAAGTGGAGTGTGCGGAACTTAACCACTAGGCCACAGGGTCGGCCCCTGGTTCTTTTTGTTTTTAGGGAGGTACAGTCAAGCTGTTGGGTCCATACAGTACATACATTCACTGATTCACACTTGTACGCAGCATCCCAACAACACAGGGACCCAATTGGGGCCCAGACCTACCCTTCATGTACCTGCTCGGAGAGACTTGCGTACACCCAGTCTTTCATACCCAGAAGCCTCCAGGTTATTTAGATTCCAGCTCTCTCAGAGTTTCAACTGCTCTCCACCTAGAGTCTTACACAGATGCAGCCAAGCATTCATGGACCCCAGACCCACCAAGACCCAGATACAACATGTACAGGGGCATACTCTCTCCCACACACAGACCAGGGTCTTTTCCAGCCATAACAGTTACTGTCCCAGGGCTCTATAACCCTCTCCAGCCCAGCACCCTCCCTTTTTTAAATTTAAATTTTATCTTTAAATTATTCTATTCAGGTCATATTGGCTTACAACATTGTGTAAATTTCAGGTGTGCATTATTATGTATCAGTTTCTGTATAGACTGCATTGTGCTCACCACCAATAGTCTAGTTTTCATCCATCACCATACATGTTTGCCCCTTGCCCTCCCTCACCCCCTTCCCCGCTGGTAACCACTAATCTCTTCTTATCCATGTGTTTATCTTCCACATATGAGTGAAATCATACAATGTTTGTCTTTCTCTATCTGGCTTATTCCACTTGGCATAATACCTTCAAGGTCCATCCACGTTGTTTCTTTTGTTTGTTTGTTTTTTGCTGAGGAAGATTCACCCTGAGCTAATATCTGTTGCCAATCTTCCTTAAAAAGACAAATTTTAATGCAAAATAAATACTAGCCACATATCACTTTTTGAAAAGTATTAGAAAATACAAATTCTGGCGGCAAGTTGGCTAAGAACCTCTACTCCACCCACCTGGTGGTGGCAGTCTCCCTCTCTCCCAGGGCCCTCAGCCTCAGTCTCCTTGATTCCCCCACCTCCTCTCCCCTCCTCCAAAGGCTGGGATTCCTGGGGGTAGGACCCAAGTCTTCTCCTCGTTCTCTCTCTGGGGTAAGTCCAGCCATTCAGAGGGCTTCAAATGCTGCTGAATGTCTGCTAAGAACCCCCACATCTATGCCCGCTGCCCAGCTCTGGCATCATCTGGTCTCTGCCTGCCCCCTTCCCACTGCAGCCACAAGGGCCTTCTGGGTCTCCACACTACCTCCCAGGTCTCAGGACAGGCTGTTTCCCCACCTGGAACGGTTGCTCCCCTTTTTTCCTCCCAACCCCTGCCCCTCCTTGAGGTGAGAAACCAACTCCCCCACCTGCCCCCCAGCACTCTGTACTGGAATCATCAACAACCGAGTTCCTCCAACACCCGTGCTACCCTCTGAGCCTCCCAACATGCTGTTCCCTCTACAAGAAACACTCTTCCCCATGATCTTCCTCCACTCATTCTGCAGACTCACGCATGCCCTCCTCCAGGAAGCCCTCCCTGACACCCACCACTCCTAGGCTAGGGTAGGCACTTGCCAGGCCTGGGCACAGAGTTGGCTGGCCTCAACTCTGGATGTAAGGGCACCCTGGGGCCTCTGGCACTTGCCACAGGCAGAGGGCCCCTCTGCATCCTCGCCCTCTGGATCTCCCCCAGCCACTCCTTATTCCGCCCTGTTGAAATATAACCTGGAATTAAATGCAGATGGACTTTAGATTTGGAGACGCAGATGCATAAAGAGGGACGTGACGTTCCCAAAGTAACGCCAGGAGCCAGTGACCCCCTGACCCTGAGCTGGCCTTTGGTCAGCTATCTAAGGGTGAGTCTCACTCTGTAGAAAGATTGAAAATAAAGAGAACCAGTCCAGGCTGGTTGCGGCAGCTGAACTGAGTTCCTAGAATTGACTTGACGCCTGGGTGGGGGCTGCAAGGGGCAGGACCAGGGAGTGAGGCATTGATGTGGAGAAAGCGAATTCCTGGTCTGTAGTCTTTGAAAGTTTTAATGAGCTCATAATCACCTTCTATTTGAGTAATTGAATTTCTATGAAAAGTAATCATGGAGATAATAATGACATTTACCGCAGGTTGTTGTGTTTTCATAGGCTCAAAGCAGGGCTGCATGTAAAAGGATCAACATCAGTCCTGGACTGGGAAGTGGACGAGAAGATGAGCTGCTGAGAGGGGGTCTTGTTAACATGGAACTCTCAAAATTAAGTGTAGAATTGTGTATTCACTTTTTAGAATTTTGTGCCAGTCTTGAAGATCACTGGAGATGCTTCTATCTTTGGCTACTATTTTCTAGGAAGTTTTAAATCAATGTTGTAAATGTTATAACCAGAGTTGAGTATTTTTAAAAATCATAGCTTTGGGGATCCAGCTCTGTGATGCCCTGAATTTGGTGCCACTTACCATAATACCGTCACGTTATTGCACATGGCAGGATTTTGTCTTTTTCATGGCTGAGTAGTATTCCATTTGTGTGTGTGTGTGTGTGTGTGTGTGTGTGTGTGTGTGTGTACACCACATCTTCTTTATCTATTCATTCATTGATGGGCAGTTGGGTTGCTTATATGTCTTGGCTATTGTGAATAATGCTATGATGAACATAGGGGTGCATAAACCTCTTTGCATTGTTGATTTCATGTTCTTTGGATAAATATCCAGTAGTGGGATAGCTGGGTTGTATGGTAGTTCTATTTTTAATTTTTTGAGAAATCTCCGTACTGTTTTCCATAATGGCCGCACCAGTTTGCGTTCCCACCAGCATTGTATGAGGGTTCCCTTTTCCCCACATCCCCTCCAACATTTGTTGTTTCTTGTCTTGTTAATTATAGCCATTCTGATGAGCACCTTCCCTTTTATCTGGACCTCTAGTCTTATGCTTCCCTCCAAGGATCAGACCCTCTGGGCCACCAGGTGGTGCTGTGAAAGCCTGTTCTAGCTGAGGTACTGAGTGGGAACATGGAGGGATAGAGGGGAAGAATAGGACGGAGATGGCTAGAGTGGGAGAAGGCAAGATGTGGAGGGAGAGATAACAATAATAAGATCCTATTTAATTCTCAAAAATCCTAAGGGGATTACATTTATGATTCCTACTTTCAGTAAGGAAACTGAGGCTCAGAGAGGTGCTGCAACTGCTGAAGGTCACACAGCTCAGAAACAACAGAGCCAGGTTTGAACCTAGATGATCTGGCAACAAAGCCCTTCCTCTTAAGCATTGCATATGACAATATGTGACTGTGGGTTAGTGTGCATGCAGGTGTGTGGGGCTTTCAATTGATCAAAATTATCTGTGTGAAAATAGTGATAATGATACTGATGACAGCAACAACTTCAGTAGCTAATATTTATGGAGGGCTTCCTACATGCCAGGTTGTGTTCAGCCCTTTACCTACATGTCTTGCTAAATCTTCACAATATCACTGCAAAGTAGGTAGCATTTTATTTCTATTTTAAACAGAGAAAGTGATATTTGCTTATGATGAGAAAGTAGAAATGTGCCCTGCTATCCATGAGTTTGGAGTAACAGAGGAATAAAGCCAGGTGCAACGTTAACAGGAAACGACGTTTCTCCCGAGGTCACCCTGCAACCGTAAAGTGTCATAATGACTCACTTCATCGAGTGACTACTGTTTTCTTACCCACTGAGAAAACCTTGTCCTCTGAAATTGTAGGTGATAAATTTTGCTGTTTGAAATTGTAACAGTAAGAGTGAAACATCCCACCCCTGTCTGGTGGGTCTAAGGCACTTTGACACAGAGAAGCAGCCTCCTTTTCCAACCCAAGTGCAGAACTTCAGATAAGGGATTTTTTTTTTTTGCTGAGGAAGATTCGTCCTGAGCTGACATCCACTGCCAATCTTCCTCTTTTTGTATATGAGTCGTGGCCACAGCATGGCTACTGACAGACGAGTGGTGTAGGTCCACACCTGGGGACTGAACCCGGGCTGCTGAAGTGGAGCAGGCTGCACTTAACCACCAGGCTGCCAGGCCTGGCCTGAGGGATTTCTGAATATACAATTCTACGCTTGATTTTGAGAGTTCCATGTTAACAAGACCCCTTCTCAGCGGCTCATCTTCTCGTCCACTTCCCAGTCCAGGCCTGATGTTGATCCTTTTACATGCAGCCCTGCTTTGAGCCTATGAAAACACTGCTTCATTTAAATTCTACCTAAATGCAGCCCTCCCCCTAATCCTATGATAAATGCATCTTTTCCTTTTTTGGTGAGATGCCCCACAGTCCCTCTAGGGGGTGCCATCTCTCCCTCATTGCTATGGGTTAACAAACCTGATGTAGGCTAGGACAAAATATAAGTCCATGTGTGTGTGTGTGTGTGTGTGTGTGTGTGTGTGTCTCTCTCTGGGTACTTCTGAGTGTGAAATATCGTA